TTGTGATTAGCTTTTATCCAATCAGTAATCGACAAATTTATCTGAAGCGGGATAAATATATATATATATTTCAAGGATGAAAATGTTTCAACCTACTTTTTTTTTGGTAAAATAAGATGAGAAAGTAAAATGAAATTTATATGGCCTAACAGAGAGAACCAGTATGATTATATTTTAATGAAAAAATATTCATTTTAACAAACAGTGTTTTATTGCCCAATTTTACAAGATTTATTATGTTCTTTAGTAATTCTGAAATTGTTGAATATTTTTGAACTTGTATATTTAGTCAAGCATTGGAATAAACATCTGGAATGTATCATGTTTTTTTTACTATTGTGCTGTAAACATGTCAACTAAATAGCAATGTACAGGTAGTCATATAAAGAAATGAACAAGCACATTTAAAGAACTGTGGTCCCCCATGTTCAAGTGTCGTAATGGATGGGATGCCTTTATCTGTGGTATACTTGTATTGTGTCATTCAAATATGAATGCCCTATCATATGCCATTCAAAAATAATCACCAAGGTTAATTTTTTTGAAAATTAGGTCAAACATGAAGGTCAAGGCGTAAAAAGATCATATAGCATACTTGGAAACATGTTGTTACAGATTATGCACATATCATTTGAAAGCCCTATCTCTTCTCAATCAAAAAAATTAAATATATATAAGGAAAAGAAAAGTTGTCAAGGGCACAAGTTAAAAATTCATAGAATATTTAGAAAGGCCTTAATTGTCACAGGTAATATAAATAGGTACCTTAGGGTACCCATCTCTTATCCACATCTCCTCCTATGCAATGGATTAAGATGAGACACAGAATTGCCAGATCAACCTTCTTAAAAAAACAAAAATGTTAGAATTTGTCAAATGAATATTCCTTTAATTATCAAAAATTACATTTAATATTCTTGTTAAAAGTGGGCTTTGGTCATCACACATTTGTTTATAATACTCTTTCATCAAAATAACTTTCTGAAGTGATTTTCTGCTCTTTTCATAGAGGTTATATTATCTACCCCGCTCCCCCTTTCAGTGTATGTAATTATACTTTTCAACTCATCTGTCTCTCTCTTCTGTACATTATCAACAAACTTTCAAAAAATGAAAAATAAAATGATTTAGGGCCTAATGAGTTCCATTGAACCAAAAAGACAAAGGTTAAAAAAAAATATACAGCCACATAAAAATGTTATTATATCTTAAAACTATTTGAAATTATCTTTTTAAAAGTTAAATATAAAATATTTTTATTTTCATTTTAACCATTAAAAAAAGTCTGAATGTAATAAAAAAATCCTTTTCAATTCCTTTTTTCTATGTTTTTTTTCCAGTAAAAAAGCAAAATCCTAGTAATGTCACTAATAATGTTCCTGCAAGAGTGCCAAATTCTTCTCACATACATGTATTTACCCCCCCCCCCCCCACTTTGTGATGGTTCTTTCCTTTATATATTATATTTTTATACATATGTGTCCCTAATTTTCAGAAATTTTAGCGGCCAAGGCGAGGCTGTTGGGGCCTGCAATATTAAAATAAAGCGTTGAGAAGGTATCGATTTGCGCTTTTTTCATGCCGAACAGAGTTCGAGCACTTGCCATTCACCGATTGGCTGAGAGTATGACGTGGCGGAAGCTAGTATACTGTCATGGCGGACGCCGGTGTGAAAAGCGACATACGCTCGAATATGTGGCGACCGGGAGCTCTGCAAAGTCTACTTACATTCTTTATTTTATCTCTAGCTTGGCTTGTTGGATTTAGCTCTCGATTATTTGCTGTCATTCGATTTGAAAGCATCATTCACGAGTTTGATCCATGGTAAACAATCATGCAGTTGTGCACATGTTCTACGAGGATTTTCTTCCTTGACTTTGTTTTGTGCAACATGTGTAATCTATGTGGCAATATAATTGGCGCTGGTTTTGTCCTTAATCTCTAATGAGTAATTCATTACAAAGTCTAAAAAATGCAATATAAATATAAATTTTACATGACTGGTAAACATGGTAAAAAAAAACTATATTGCAAATTGGTAATTCCTGCACTTTTTGATAAAAAAAAATGGTTTTGATATAGGTTATTTATTTTAAGAAGAGAATTAAAAACAGTAAATTCTATCCGTCAGTAGCTTTTATAATGCATGATAAAATGTCATTTACAAAAAGTGCTTAAATGGAGTATTGATCTACATGATCTATTTATTGAATATAAATGTAATTGAGTATTTTGCAGGTTTAATTACAGAGCCACTCATTATATGGTGCAGCATGGTTTCTACAACTTTTTGAATTGGTTCGATGATACAGCATGGTATCCTCTGGGAAGAATCGTGGGGGGAACGGTGAGTTGAGTTTCTCTCGGCTACAGGTATGGTAGCCTCTAGAAAGAATTGTTGAAGTTGTCGCTGTCTCATGTATAGCATCATTCAGTTTTGTGATAGTACTACAGTACTCATGCATTTACACTGTAGGTTCGAATTTTGTCTAAATTTATAATGAAGGGTTGGACTTTGCAGAGATCATTGAATTATCTTTTTTTAAAATGTTTCAACATGTTCAAAGGATACTTTTAATGTAGAAAATTTAAAAAGTATATTGTTGTAAAGTAGATTTAAGAATAAAAAAATTGTTCAAGAGAGCCCACAATAAAAGTATAATTCATGAAAAAAAAAATTATATGTGTTATCAGCTAGAGCAAGGATAAAGCAAAAGAAAAATAAAGGACATTTATCATGTTTATCATGAATATCTACATATTATCCATAAAAATTGAGCAAATGTAATTGAATTTCCAGTGATTTCATCAGCTTGATATTTGATCTAGCAAGTCAGTATATTTTATACATTGTGATAGGTAAAATTTATGAGCAGGGGGAAGCTGATTATTGATTTTAAAAGATGAATAATAGATTTGCATTTATCATCGTTTACAGGTGTATCCTGGATTGATGGTAACCTCTGGTACAATCCATTGGGTCCTCCATATGCTACATATTCCAGTGCATATACGAGATATATGTGTTTTTTTAGCACCAATATTTAGGTAAAACAAATAACAATATTACATTTAAAGAAGAAATTTAAAAAAAGACATGGAGAAAAAATATGAAAATAAATGACTATTTTTTCAATTTTACAGATCCTCAATTATTGCTAATTAGCACATCTTTCATGATAACTGCAATACTACTCTTTTGCAGGGCAAATTAATAATGTTTGACGAAATTTCATTGATAGATAATTGAATGACACATAATAAACAACTGTTTTTATGTCATATTTCACCAAAATATATCATTTTGCCCTGAAAAAGTGTTGTACCACAGCTATTGTGAAAGGGTCTGACTTAACAACTGTAAAAATTCCTTGTTAAAAAGTGTTCAAAGATCTAAAGCTTAAAGTTTATGTATGAAGAGGTTTGAAAGGGTTTTTCCCTCAAGAAATTCAGAACAATATATGCATGAAAACATGAATATTAAGTGATTTTTGTTAAATCTGACAATTGACAATTTAAATGTTCTGCATAAAAATTAACAACTGGTCGAGTATTCTTATTAGAACTTTCTGTAACTCTTTGAGCTGTCATTTAATGCACACTGTATACCGTAAGTATTAACATGGATCACCATCTGTTTAGTATGTTTCTTCTTTTTTAACAGTGGAATGACAGCTATTGCTGTCTATTTCTTCACAAAAGAAATATGGAGTGCCGGGGCAGGCTTGTTCGCTGCCTGTTTTATTGCCATTGGTAAGTCATAAGAGTAGACAACATGAATATTATAAATCTTAAATTCTTTGGATTCAAATGTGTCTCTAATTTTCTATTTTGGACAACAAATGATAAATTTGCATTAGATATTGATGTTGTAACAGCTTTGAAACAGTTATAATAATTATGAACAATTAATTGCTAGCCAAACAGAACCAATATAGTATGTTTTTCTGTAAATGAAGAAAAAGTTGTTAAACTTTTTGGCTCACCTCTTGAAGTTGGGGTAGCTTATGTAAAACTCATCTTTGTAGCTGTCTAGGGTTAAGGTTTTTGGAGCAGATTGAAGTTTTTAGAGGGGAGACTTTTTCAAGTAACCATAAGCCCTAAGTTGACCAAACTTGCACCTGAGGATGATACATTTAAGGATGAACACTATCAGGCCTGCTTCCAATGCTGGGTCTGACTATAAGTGACAAGTAACTCTATGCTGACCTGCTTTGCATTGAAGATACAGTTATTTGATGCACACTACCAGAGTTGATTTAGATGAGGGATTTGACCTTCATTTTCCATATGAGGCCAAGATAAATAAATAAATTGTTTCCTATTCCATCCTGAGAAAAAATAGGGTAGGTAGGTAGGGAAAACATTTTATTTTATTATAACATTTTATTGGCAAGCACACTGCCATTTTCCCCCAGGGAAATCACTTTCAAAATATTTCTGATTTTTGTGAGTATGATATGCATTTTCTCAAACAGGGAAGTGATCCAGATAAGGATTTCTAATTGTAAGACTGGAATAGTTTACACCTGGAAAGATACTGTCAGAAAAAATGTTCAGGGTCGGCTCCTATATTATAGGGTCGGTCGGGGAACTGGAAACACACAATTTATTTATCTAGGCCAGAGTGACAAGGTTAACATTTTAGGAGCAGGTCCAACACCAAGAAACTCCAAGGCCTATCTGAACCAAACTTTCATGGATGATGCATCAATGGATACACACTTCCAGAGTTGTTTGAGATATTAGATGTGAGCTACATTTTCTAGTTGACTGATGAGTAACCAGTTTTAAGAGAAAACTCAATCAAGTGTATCTTATAGCATTATTTAGACCATCTTTGCACGAATAAAGCATCAAGAGATGAAGTAGCTCAAACTTCAGATTTTACTCATATTTTTTTTTGAAGAGTGACAAGCTTAAAGTTATTACAAGTCCATTCTCATTCAAGTACAAATGTAACTGCAAGCCCAGCACACCAAAATTGCCTTGTTGCATGATTTGCATCTAGAGATGCACACTTCTAAATTATTAGTAAATTGTGGAACTTTGCCCAAAATAAAATAAAATTAGCTGCGTTGAGCTATGTAATCTTTGATTACCTATGATTCTCTGTGTTTTCAGTACCCGGCTACATTAGCAGATCGGTGGCAGGCAGCTATGACAATGAAGGAATAGCTATTTTTGCTCTTATGTTCACATACTATTTATGGGTATGTTCTCATTTTTTAAATTTGATTGTTGAACTCCTCATGCGTTGATACTAATTTTTAATTCTTTGCAAGCTTTCATGAATTTTTATAGATGAAAGAAAAACTCATCGAACTATTTAAAATCAGATATGCACTATTGACATAAAGTAATTAGAAATTGTATCTTTTTTTGTAGATAAAAGCAGTTAAAACAGGGTCCATGAATTGGGCCATTTTTACAGCTTTATCATATTTTTATATGGTAAGTAATATTCTCAAGTTTCAGGTATTTTTTATGGTTTATGATATTCACAATTTCTATACACATGTTATAATTATTGTCAGAAACGAATTAAAAAAAAAATCATTCATTTTTTAAAATAAATGTGAAAATGATACATGTTATGTGATAATGATTAATGGAGATATTTCAATCATTTCATGGTATTTTAAAAATTACTTATAATTATTACTTGTGTAGTTTTTTAATGTTATTGGATGTAACTTTAGAAATATAACTAGTATTATTTTTCTATGAGCGTTAAAATATAGGTACTTTTGATATTATATTCTGGTAACAAAAACTTGCTTTCTCTTTCAGGTGTCTGCGTGGGGAGGTTATGTTTTCATCATTAACTTAATTCCATTACATGTGTTTGTTCTTTTGTTAATGGGAAGATATTCTAGGCGTATTTACGTAGGTGAGATTTTAAACTGTGTCATGCATTTTTTTCTTTTCAACATTGACAAGGCAAGTATTTCAGTATTAACTGAATAAATACATTTCTGAATGACTTGGTTTGAATAAAGTAAGTGGAAAGTCGTATATTTCTATATTATAAAATTGGTAATGAATATTTTTATCTAATTCAAGTTATTGTAAGAGCACAATACTAGTTTTTGAATTTCTTTTTTTAGCTTGTTTCCCATCTCAACGAGCTAGTGAAAATTTTACTAATTAAAAGTTATTTAAATTCTCTTTTTATAAAATGCGATGTCTTCTTTTCTGTTTCAGCATATTCAACATTTTTCATTGTGGGTTTAATATTATCAATGCAAATTCCATTTGTCGGGTTTCAGCCAATCAAAACCAGTGAACATATGGCCTCTGCTGGTATGTTTATGAGTTTATTTTGAATTGTACTTAATGATTCTACAGACTTTTTTGACAAGGCTAACAGATTAAATTTTAAAGTTTAACTTGAAATGAAATCATTGTTCTTAAGTTAATAGATAACATTTTTTTCCCCATACAGGTGTATTTGGTTTAATAAATGCCTATGCTGTTATAAAGTATGTGCATTCCTTCATGACCAAAGCTGAGTTTAAGGTTTTCTTCTTCTGTGCTGTGGCTGGAGCAGCAGGAGTTATCTTCCTTAGTGTTGTTGGCCTGACATGGGCTGGTAAGTTGTTTTAGCTGGCACATTGTATATACTCCATTTCTATGATGCCAGTGATTGTACGATACGGGGTATTTCTATTTTCATTTCTCGCATGCAAAAAAAGTATAGTTTTGTAAGAGATAAATTGATCCAAAATTATGGTCCATACACTGGTTATTTTTCATGTATACAAACATCAAGGCGTACATTTCATTGGCATTGTTATTGATTACTGAACTTGATTGATTTATTAAGGTACAGTCATTGAGAATTTGGGACCAGCACTTTTAAATGACTTCACAAGTATCCTTATTTTAAACATTGATAATGCCTACTATCTTAAATCTTAACCTGAAATTTAGTTTAGAATGGTGGCCCTTAGTCCTCTTGTTGATAAACTTGATGTGAAGGACTTGGAACTATTGTTCCACATTTTTATTTTCAGGAATTATCCACCCCTGGAGTGGTCGTTTCTATTCCCTGTGGGACACAGGATACGCTAAAATCCACATTCCTATCATTGCCTCGGTGTCGGAGCATCAGCCCACTACCTGGGTCTCCTTCTTCTTTGACCTTCACATCCTGGTGTGCGCATTCCCGGCCGGTGTGTGGTACTGTGTGAAACACATCAATGATGAAAGAGTGTTTGGTAAGATATCACTGCATGCTACAATTATCAAGGAATGAAATTTATAGTTGGGAAAAAGTGTTCAGAACAACATGTATTTTAGAATGTTGAAGAACATAAACTGGAAACATTTTCTTTTTCAGATTAAAGAAAAAAATTAGTCTTTCAAGTATTTTTTGAAAATTTTTATTAAATTTTCTTATTTTTAGCTCACCTGAGCCGAAGGCTCAAGTGAGCTTTTCTGATCACATTTTGTCCAGCGTCCGTCTGTCTGTCCGTCAGTCTGTCTGTAAACTTTTCACATTTTCGACTTCTTCTCAAGAACCGCTGGGCCAATTTCAACCAAACTTGCCACAAAGTATCCTTGGGTGAAGGGGATTTTGAAGTTTGTTCAAATGAAGGGCCACACCCTCATTCAAGGGGAGATTATTGGGAATTAATGAAAATTTGGTGGCATATTTTAAAAATCTTCTTCTCAAGAACCACTGTGCCAGGAAAGATGAAACTTATGGGGAAACATCCTCAGGTAGTGTAGATTCAAGTTTGTTCAAATCATGACCCCCGGGGGTAGGGCGGGGCCAAAATGGCCGACCAAAGTTTTACATAGAAATATATAGGAAAATTCTTGAAAAATCTTCTTCTCAAGAATGACAAAGCCATAATTCATCATATTTATATGGAAGCATGTTCAGGTAGTGTAGATTCAAATTTGTTCAAATCATGACCCCGGGGGTAGGGCGGGGCCAAAATGGCTGACCAAAGTTTTACATAGAAATATACAGGAAAATTCTTTAAACATCTTCTTCTCAAAAATGACAAAGCCATAATTTATCATATTTATATGGAAGCATGCTCAGGTAGTGTAGATTCAAATTTGTTCAAATCATGACCCCCGGGGGTACGGAGGGCCAAAATGGCCGACCAAAGTTTTACATAGAAATATATAAGAAAATTCTTTAAACATCTTCTTCTCAAGAACGACAAAGCCATAATTCATTATATTTATATGGAAGCATGCTCAAGTAGTGTAGATTCAAATTTGTTCAAATCATGACCCCCAGGGGTAGGGCGGGGCCAAAATGGCCGACTAAAGTTTTTAAAGATATATATAGGAAAATTCTTTAAAAATCATTCTCTAAAAAATAGCAAATCCATGATTGGTCATGGGACTACTTTTGGATTTAAACTTTACAATAAAAAGCCATTTTCTACTTTTTCCTACCCTTAGTGCTCAGGTGAGGGATGTGGCCCATGGGCCTCTTGTTTTATATAAGAAAATCTGAAGGTGCTTCTCTGACAAATAATTCTGACTTTTCTCATTTTAGTGATTCTGTATGCCATATTTGCCAGTTACTTTGCGGGTGTGATGGTGCGTCTCATGTTAACTCTAACACCAGTTGTATGTGTTCTGGCTGCCATAGCCTTCTCCAAGACATTTGAAATCTATCTCAAAGATGAGACGCCTAAATCCAGTAGTAAAGAAAGCAAAGAAGAACCAGCCGAGAGCAAAAATGACAGGCTTTATGACAAGGTTAGTTAAGGAGGTCTGATAGAAATGTAGGAACAGTCTATTGGAACTATTTACATACTTATATGTGGCGTATCTTCCAAACTGTATGATCTGATTTATTAACATTAAGGTTGGTAAGACCAAGAAGACAAAAGAGGAGAAACCAAAGGACCAGGATGCCATGGGGATGAACATAAAGACAATCGTGATCATTGCCCTGCTGATGATTCTGATGCTGTTCGCTGTTCACTGTACCTGGGTGACCAGCAGTGCATACTCCAGTCCCAGTATCGTGCTGGCTTCTTACAATCACGACGGGTAAGTCAGCAAGCTCTCCACACAGAACACTTAATTGTTAAATAGGAAAAATGTGGATCATGCAAGTTCCCTCAACAATTATGTACAACATGTATTCTGCTTTTATTCATAGGTGCTTTCTAAAATCTCATTTAATTACACAATGATGTGTGCATCAAAACTTATCTTGTGTGTTATCCATTGTTTTCAGGAGTAGGACAATCTTGGATGACTTCCGTGAAGCGTATTATTGGTTGAGACAGAATACGGATGAGAAGGCACGGATCATGTCGTGGTGGGATTATGGGTACCAGATAGCGGGAATGGGGAACAGAACAACGCTTGTAGACAACAATACGTGGAATAACAGTCACATAGCTTTGGTAATGTTCACATACTAATTCATTTAAAGCAGGAGTTATTGAAATATTGTTCATAGGAAAAAGGTGAAAGAGGCATAGAGGAATATGTGTTTCCTGCCAGTATGTACTGAAGCTTTAAATGTACAAAGTAATATCGGATTTTAGCAAAAAAGAAATTCATCCTTTAATATAATATCTTAACCCCCAAATTCTGTCGATAATTATCTATTTTACATTAATGAAATTTTCTATTATTTATTTTCAGGTAGGTAAAGCTATGTCTTCTAATGAGACAGCGGCCTATGAAATCATGCGTCAGCTGGATGTGAATTACGTACTTGTCATATTTGGGGGCGTAATTGGATACTCAGGTGACGACATCAATAAATTCTTGTGGATGGTCAGAATTGCAGAGGGGGAGCATCCAAAAGACATCAAGGTAAATAGGGTCCCTCCTTAAATACCAAGGGTTCTCTTACTTATGCTGTAGTGCTAGAACATATAGATATAGAGTATACCACAATTAAATGTTAGTTTTAGGTGATGAAATAGAACTTGTGTTTTGAATTAAATTTTCTATAACAAAACATATTTCAGCTCCAGCAAAAACTGTAATTGATGTTAACATGGTTAAGAAAAGGCACACTATATAATGTTTACAATATAATACATATTGTATTAACTGTCATTTGCAGGAATCGGACTACTTCACCCCCCAGGGTGAGTTCCGGGTGGACTCGGCTGGTTCCCAGACATTACTCAACTGTCTGATGTACAAACTGTCATATTACAGATTCGGGGAATTACAGGTTTGTCTTACATAGATACACATCTTCTCACAGTGTATATTAATTTTCATATTTTTACTCGAGAAATGATAAGTTTTTTTCTGTTGTATTTCTGTGTTTTTTTTCCTTTGAACATAGTTGTATTTGTAATAACAATTATCATTATGTTGTCTATTACAGCTGGATTTCCGCAGTCCGGCCGGCTATGACAGGACAAGAGGAGTAGAGATAGGTAACAAGAATTTTAAACTGACTCACCTGGAGGAGGCGTACACATCAGAACACTGGTTGGTGCGAATCTACAAAGTCAAAGACCTAGAAAACAGAGAGAAAGTGACAAAACCATCCATACCAGCTCAAAAGTGGAAGAAGAAGACATCAAAAAAGGTACTCACTACACGTTAGGGTGCATGACAGAGACTTTATATAATCAAACAGTTTCACTGTTAACTTATCTGTAAAAATTTGTTTTCCATATTAAGATTTTTTTTGTAAAATAAAAATGAAAGAATCACGATTACATTTAAATTTTTTCATCTCAAATGCAATGGGGCAGCGAAGCAAAATTTGATATATAGAGTAAGAGAGAGTTTAGAATATCAGAGTTCAACTGTAATTTTGAACAAATGTTATTCTACATGTAGGTGTATTTGTTATTTCAGTTTGTACAAAATCATTTGAAGTATTTATTTTAATGAATGAAAATTGTATTTAATTTGTCAAGAGTTCTTAATAATTTTTTGTTAGGCAGCTGTGGAAAAATTTTAATTTTTTTATATTTTGACAGACATCAAGGAGAAAAACTGGCAGCATTAAAAATCAGCCAAAAATAGTGAAAGGAAAGAGAAGATCGGGGAAGAAGTAAAGCAAAGACCCAGGCTTAGCAAGAGTTGTCTTTCCTGATCCATGTTAGCTTTTTGTGTAGGGACCAGTGTGCATGGAAATGTCTGAAGTTTTTTTTTAAGTTGTGAGAAAATGTTTCATTAAATGTATGAATTGTTCATGAATGAATAGATTAATTATTGTAAAAAAAAAAGATAACACAAATGAATCAAGCAGTTCCTTACCTGATTGTAAATAAGTTCTTACAGTTTTATAATGAGGTATGACAGTGTGAGTATTGTGTTTATTTCCAGTTAGTCCCCTGTGTTGTTGTTTTCTGTTGAGGGAGAGTAGAGTGTTAGACTCTGTGTTGTATATTAATGTTTCAGTTATAGACTGAAAGTGCTATTTATTTTTAATCAGGCTTATCTATAAGTACACCATTATCTGTCCAACATTTTGCTTAATCTTTCCGGTATGTAGTACTTCGTTTGTTACACCTCACCACCCTGCGCAATTTTGTATACTCTTTTTTTTTTCTATTAACCTACCTGTACTTAATGCATTTATATCATGCATTGTCCATACTTTACATGAATAGATGCTACATGTGTGACAGTGAGCTTGGTAGAAAAGTGCTCATTTAGTCTCACTTCATTTGCTCAGCAGTATGGATCAGTGATGGACTAGTTCGTAGAGTGTTAATGTACAAGACAGACTGACATATAAATGAAATCAAGAATATGGAGGATAAATGAGTCATGTCAGCATGTTCACGAAAACATAAAATATACATCACAGTTTTTAATTGTTTTGACCACTTTTAGGTCATACTGTCCATTTAGTAGCATATTTCATTTTGAAAACAAAAGAAAAGATATATATATTTTCTTGCTTAGGTTGAAAATAAACAAGGAATGTATAACATTTATCAATTTTTTTAATAAAATTTATATGTAGCATTGTTTCAAATTTTCAGGGTTATCATACTGGTACCTTTGGTTTAAATTTGATTCTTTCATCAGAAGCTGATAGGACATTCAAATAGAAAAATAAAATGTGTTCATTGCTAAGTTAAAATGTCATTCATGGTTTTCTAAATCAAGATCACAAGTTTTCTCTCACAACAATTGGCCATATCTAGTCATTTCATTGTAGTGAGATCAATGGACGTCGTACTCACGTTGAACTTCGGTAAATATACACATATAGGAATACATTTTACTGAAAAACTTGCCTCCAGAGAGCTGTAAATATTTCTGACCTTCAGCAATGAAGGGACTTTTGTTGTTTTTACTTTGTATTATTTTCCTGGTTCTAATATAAAGGGGTGTATGCCGTACGCAGTCGGTTCCTGGTATGGAGTGTGTAATAAGAATCAAAATGTTGTGTTAGAGTTTTGTTGTTTTGTCTGTTCAGTAGATGCCATCTCTGTTTTAACGAGTCTTATTAATGTGCAAATTAAGCCATATGAAAGAATTTATTTAAAATGATTCATTAAATCTCTTGAAATATTTTATGGTTGTGTTAATTGTTTTTAGCTCTATGGTCATAGATAAACAATTTTTCAAAATGCTACTCCTCGTACAGTTTTGGTCTGATTTCAATATAACTTGGCACACAGGTAGAGTACACTAAGATACATAATTCTGTGTATCGGTTTTTGATTTCGATGAACGGTGTTGCCATGGTTATTAAAAATAGAATTTTCTGTGAAATTCTTTCAAAATGCTACTCCTCCTACAGTTTTGGTCTGATTTCAATATAACTTGGCACACAAGTAGACTACACTAAGATACACAATTCTGTGTATCGGTTTTTAATTTTGATGAACGGTGTTGCTGTGGTTACTAAAAATAGAAATTTCTGTGAAATTCTTTCAAAATGCTACTCCTCCTACAGTTTTGGTCTGATTTCAATATAACATGGCACACAAGTAGACACAAGATACATAATTCTGTGTATTGGTTTTTTATTTCGATGAACGGCGTTGCCGTGGTTACTAAAAATAGAAATTTCTGTGAAATTCTTTCAAAATGCTACTCCTCCTACAGTTTTGGTCAGATTTCAATATAACTTGGCACACAAGTAGACTACACTAAGATACATAATTCTGTATATCGGTTCTTGATTTCCATGAACGATGTTGCCGTGGTTACTAAAAATAGAAATTTCTGTGAAATTCTTTCAAAATGCTACTCCTCCTACAGTTTTGGTCTGATTTCAATATAACTTGGCACACAAGTAGACTACACTAAGATACATAATTCTGTATATCGGTTTTTGATTTCGATGAACGGTGTTGCCGTGGTTACTAAAAATAGAAATTTCTGTGAAATTCCTTCAAAATGCTACTCCTCCTACAGTTTTGGTCTGATTTCAATATAACATGGCACACAAGTAGACTACACTAAGATACATGTATCAGATTCTATGTATCAGTTTTTCACTTCAATGAACGGTGTTGCCGTGGTTACTAAAAATAGAAATTTCTGTTAAATACTCTCAAAATGCTACTCCAAATACAGTTTTAGTGTGATTATAATATAATGTGGCATGCAAGTAGACTACACTAAGAACATAAAGAGACTTAATCAAGGATCATTATTCTATTTATTGCTGTAGAAAAGTTTCAATTCCCAACTGCTTAAGTACTTTTCTCTTCCTTTACTTTAAGTACAAACCAGTAGAGCTTCAGTCTCGACAGAGACTTCTGGTTATCTATATAGAAATTGCATTGTTGTCATATTATTATCGACTTTCATAACTGAGATGCATGCATGTGATCTGTGCCAGGGTTACGAGGGACGTTCAATAAATAATGTCATCAGCTCGATGACACACAACATAGAAATCATATGCCATTAAGTTTGACTTTCTCTAATTATTGAATCTTTAATGAGTTGATAACAGTTTATGTGACCGCTTTTCATCACATAATTCCATTGTGAGAAGCTGGAAAACAAGGGCTACTCGGGACACTGCATTTAGAATCCGTAAACTAGAGTGAAATTAAACGCTTCATTAAAACTGCTGTAAAACTTGTTAAGAATCCCAAAGATATATTAACTGGAATATGTTAAATTTACAGCAATCAATGCCTGTTTTATACACATATGAGCAGGTGAATTTCACTGAACAAAAATGATATAACGGGCATCAAAAATGGTACCGTCATTGGCAACAAGGACATACAACAACCAACGTATATTTGCGAAAATTCAACAAATTATCACTGAGTATGTTTAATTGACTTTAAGACACATAGCAAATTTGATAGACATCATTTTGGGGGTAGATCACACTGTTTTAAAGAAATATTTGATATTGAAAAAGTTTACTACTCAAAGGTCACTCAATTTTTTGAAAAATGAGTGAAAACGACAGCGTGTAGGAATATCTAGACAATTATTTTCAAAAAAAAATGTAGTTAAACCCTCAAAAATTAGATACACTTGACAAAACAGCAAAGGGCTGAAAAGAGCAAAGAATTGGAAGAGCACAAAAACAGTTTTATAATTATGCTATTTTCTTAAATATTAGTGGTCTTGTTGTTCAAATTCTTATTGGGGAAGTAATTTCAATTTCTGGAAGAGTCTAGAAAGCAAAATGTTTGCAAAAAAGTGAAAGGTTTATGAGAGGAAGGAGCCAGAATGAGGAATTCACTACATTAAATTTCTTCATGACAGCGCCCAAACCCACAGACCATGAAGAATAAAGGAGTTCTGGGGATAAAAAGGAAGTTAATGTTTTGTCACAGCAACAATATTGGCCAGCACTTTCAACGTTTGACCTGTTTCATTTCCCAAACTTGGAAAAAAAAACAACAAAATGGCATCACACTGTTGGGTTTACATCAATTTTTACACAAAAAAACCTGGCTTAAATTGGATGCTTTAATTACATTTTTAGCTCTACTGGTCAAAGACCAAAAGAGCTTATGTGATGGTAAGGTGTCCGTCTGTCTAGCTGCCTGTCTGTCTGTTAACAAATTACTATAAGTATTCAAAATGCTACTCCTCCTACAGTTTTGGTCTTATTTCAATATAACTTGGCACAAAAGTAGACTACACTAAGATGCATATAGTGCATCGGTTTTTGATTTTGATGAACGGTGTTGCCATGGTTATTAAAAATAGAAATGTCCGTGAAATTCCTTTAATTTAATACTCTACTCCTCCTACAGTTTTGGTCTGATTTCAATATACTAGTAACTAGGCACAAAGGTAGACTACAATAAGATTCATAATTCTGTGTATTAATTTTTGATTTCAATGAATGGTGTTGCCATGGTTACTAAAAATAGAAATTTCTGTGAAATTCCTTTAAAACGCTACTCCTTCTACAGTTATGGTCTGATAGTCCATCGGTTTTTGATTTTGATGAACGGAGTTGTCATGGTTACTAAAAATAGAAATTTCTGTGAAATTCCTTTAAACGCTACTCCTACAGTTTTGGTCTGATTTCAATATAACTTGGCACACATGTTGACTACACTAAGATACATTATTTAGTGCATAGGTTTTTTGATTTGGATGAATGGTGTTGCCATGGTTACTAAAAAAAGAAATTTCTGTGAAGTTCCTTTAAAACGCTATTCCTCCTACAATTTTGGTGTGATTTCAATATAACTTGACACACAAGTAGACTGCACTAAGAAACATAATTCTTTACATTGCTCCTGTTGCAAGAAGATGGGGGATAAGGCGGACAAAGTGCCTATAGTGCGACAGATAAAAAGGGAAAAAATTAATCTCAATTATATCAAAATTTTATTTGATATTTCATCTAATATTAAAGTATACTTAATGTAAAATCTCTACAATTTACAAAAAATTCACAAAGACTGAAAATATTTGTCAATGAAAAAAGCATACACACACTAAAAAGAACAAAAACAATCATTTTCTCGTACTTTGACAAAATGTTTCAATATGAGTGAGTCTTCGCTCCATTGTTTTGAAAGATAATCCTAAAAGTTTTGAATAAAATATACATTTTTTGGTTTACAAAAACATGGAGCGAAGACCCACTATACCTTAAAAGTACACTTTTATGACAAAACATTCGCATCTTTCCGAGAAATATTTGAAGTCCATTAAGTCAAGGGTCATATCACAAACATGATTTAAATGCCCGAAGTCTTCATGAGCCATGTAGCACAGTGGTTAGCGCGTTGGTCCCAAATTAAAGTTGTTATAGTATATGATACGTTGGATTTTTATTGCTAGGGTTCGAATCCTAGCGTCTATATTAATCTCAGATACTGATGTGAAGTGACGTCAACATCGAAAAGTTGTCCAACCAGCAGATTCAAGTTATCATTTATCATATCTAAAATAGGATATTGGCTAAGTCGTGCACACTTTATTTTAATTTTACTTATGTCACAGGGTCACGGTCTTGTTAGAAGAATTCAGAACAAAACTGGTTCGGTCGTTTATCAATTTATTAATGGATATAAAGAAAAACCTAGAAAATAGAAAACACTCTCACAACACTCATACAAAACAATACACATAGACAACACGAAACAAAAAGACATTTCAACATTTACGAAAAGTAATAATTAAATAAGATATTCAAACGACTGCCAGTAGATCGTTACATAAATTAAACAAGTAAATGAATTACAAGATTAATGAATATCTTACCAGGCATCCAGTATTAAATCAGAAATATATTATGGTATACATCGATTGAATCGATCTGTGATGATATACATAAGCAATCTGCTACCGTAAAGGCTGAAGAGCTTGGGGTGGGGATTTCGGCGGGTTTCTTACTTTATATAGTGCACGGGTTAGTAAAACATGCATATAAATTAGTATAACGAAATCCATTGGTCCATGGTAGGTCACTGGTCAGTCATACGTAAAGGAAATGCTAAAAATAGAAATTCACCTGTACAAAACAAAACACTCGCACATGGCTCTCACATACCTGCAAAACCGGTTGTATTCGATTGGCTATGCGCGCCAGTCAGAATACGTACTTAATTCTGCGCAAAGCATCAAAGCAAATATCTAATAATAATTATAATTTAATTACAACTGTGACACTTATATACAATGTAAACATTTTTTAAAGTAATATCTCCATAACTTGTGTTAACACTCAATATGCAGATTACAGAATAGAAGTCCCCTACCAATGTTAGATATTCTATGACAGAAAATGAAAGTCATCTGTTTAGCTTGATTAGAAAATAAATATCATTTTTACACTAACTGTAACCAATTAAAGGAACATAGACACAGTTTCAACTGATTTTTTAAATACAAATATTAATGTTTACAATTCCTAATAAAGGCAATTTAAATGAACAGCAAAAATTTGAACATCATTTGTTGATTTACAAAGAATCGAGATAGAGAACTTAAAATTCTTCATATACATGTAAACAAGGCTCGTGCCTCGTTTGTTTTTGTTTACATATAGAAAATATCATATCATCACAAAACGAAATTCAGCAAATCACTTGAAACTGTCTAATCGTATTTAGATTTAACTTTTTTA